GAGGTAAGGATATTGTCTTATTGAAGGTGTTATGGGGTGGACCAGCCGGTGAAAGCTTGACTTGGAAGCGCGGGGGTTAGATGAGAGAGTCGTATCCGACTCTATTTGCCTCAGGTAATTTTCGAGGGCAAAAATTCCTTAAGTGAGGGAGATTTGTAACACCCCAACTTTTAGAATTTCTTATTTAATGAATCATTAGATATATTTGTGAATTAAGGACGAATAATGATGTTTTATATGATGTCTGTTGGTATGATATTGTTTACGACATGGAGCAACATGATGTGAATTATGGTGAATAGGAGTATTAGAATAATTAAATAATCATTTAGTAATTACTTGGATTAGTATTGCAAATATAATAATATGAATAATTACTTAAATGGTTATTTTAATTAGAGTTGTGTGTTGGTAATTAGAAGAAATAGTGAGGACATAATGGTAATTTGGGGTTGGCTAAGTAAGGGAAATTGAGGAAGATATTAGGGGTCCTTTGTGATAACAAAGAAAAAGAGAGAGTTATACGATTCATTCTGTAAGATCGAGATATTGGGAGAAGAGCAAGAGAAAAGGCTAGGGCACAAAAGTTGGAGAAGATCACCGTAAGAGGCACGAAGAATAGAATCAATCACTCGAAACAATAAGGTAATGGGTTTTATCTGATTATTATGTTTGATCTAAGGACTAGATAATTGCAAGATTGTCTTTGTGTGATGATTTTGGGATGAAAATTGATTAAATTAGGGAAAAACCATGTGTTGAATGATTGAAATGAATGAATACTTGATGAATTGTGATGTTAGGACCTTGAAATAAGTGTTATAGGAAGTTAATAATATTGTATAATCATAGGATTTCGAATTCTGAAACCGAGAGTTTTTATGGAATCAAATTCCGAGTTCCGGAAGGCCTCCAATGGTGGAAAATCGTAGGAGGAGAAGTGTTGTCAGCGATGCAGCGTCGGGCGATGCAATGGCGGCGCAAAAGTGACGCAGCGTCGGGCGACACGAAGGTAGCGTCAGGCGATGGGTGACAGAATTGAATGGATGTCTAATTTTCTTTAAAATTCCATAACTTGAGTTTCAGGAGTCTGATTGATGTGTCGTTCGAAGCAGTGTGTAGCTAACGTAGTAAACCTTAATTTGGTAAGATGAAATGGAGACTTAGGAATATTTTTACAAGACCTAAGTTAGAATAGGAATAGGTTCCCCGTGTTGAATCACAATGGTGGTTCGTTTGATTATGATTATATGTTGTTACTATGATGATATAATGATTTATGATGATGTTTTTTTTATTATATGAGTATATATGATGATGTTTTATGCATGACATTGATTGTTAGATGAATGATGATGTGTATGACTGGTTATGATCATTTATGTTGTTGTTGCGCATCATGCATTCATTAGACAGCTTTGGTCCGTTTTGATGAGTTAGGATGTTGGTCCAGTGGTTTGGTCTCAATCCTATTGTGTGGATTTGGGATGTCTATAATTTTGCTTCAATTCCAAGAGGGAATCGATTCTATGATTGGGGTCTATGGAGGGTGATGGCCTAGTGTCCATCAAGTGATTTGGTACCTAATGCATGATTCTTGTATTTGCACTACATCTTATGTGGCCTTGCATGGTTCTTGATTTTGGTGATATTGTGTTGTGTTGTTGAACTTGGAAGATGATATTGATGAATTGATTATTGTGATACTTTTGGATTACTCTGTTATGTCTATTACTTACATCTTATATAATGATTATGATAAACTCACCCTTTCTGCTTGAATGTTGCCTCTACGTGGGTAATGTCCAGGTAATCAAGAGTAGTCCTTAAAGGCTTGGAAGAATAGCTTTGGAGTGTGATTTATTTCCGTTGAGTCTAGAAGTTCTTTCTCTGATATGTAACATCAAGGACGAAAACGCTTTGTTTTGAAAACTATTTTGTTCTTGTTTTGTTATGACATTTAAATTGTTTCCGTGGAGTTTAAATTATTTCCGTGGAGTTTAAATTATTTTGTTCTTATTCCCATTAAATTATGTCTTTTTTATTTTCTACATTCGATCATTGAGTTGGTAGTTTACTGTCATCTATTGAGTCTGTATATCTCTTACTTTTCTACCTTCATCTATTGAGTTGGTAGTTTATCATTGTCTATTGAGTCAGTATTTCTCTTAACTTTTCTACCTTCAACTATTGAGTTGGTAGCTTATCATCATCGCTGAGTCAGTATTATTTTTTTTTCTACCTTCATCTATTGAGTCTGGTAGTATACTATCCCCTGTTGATTCGGTATTATTCTATTTTTTCCTACCTTCATATTTTGAGTTGGTAGTTTACCATCGTCTGTTGAGTCGGTATTTCTCTTAACTTTTCTACCTTCAACCATTGAGTTGGTAGCTTACCATCATCCCTGAGTCAATATTATTTTGTTTTCTACCTTTATATATTGAGTCTGGTAGTTTATAATCCCCTGTTGATTCAATATTATTCTGTTTTTTCTACCTTCATCTATTGAGTTGGTAGTTCTCCATTATCTGTTAGTCGTTGTTATCCATTGCTTTTTCCTAATTTATTGAGATGATTTTTCCTTTGTCTCCTCTTTGGACTTTACCCCATTAGAGTTGAGTCCTCTTTTCCCCAGCGGAGTTGATTTTCCTCCAACAAAGTCAAGTTTGTTTCTCAAGTTGAGTTGGTAATCCATTCTTGAAAATTACCTCTTGTTGGCCAGCTGCTTGCACTGTTAAGGATTTTCCCATTAAAATTCTTACTTTGTATCTTGTCCCTTTAACTATGATTTTGGTTTTGCCTATTCTTGGTTATCCTCAGAGTCATGTCGCTCCCCAGTGATTTATTTTCTTAGTTGAACTATGTTTCTTAGTCTGTCTTGTGACGCAGCTCTGTCTTATTCTACTTTTCCCAGTGGTATCTTGTTTCCTCTGTGGATTTTGTCCTCTACATTTATAATCATTAAGCATTGCATGGCATATTAGGGCTAAAAATAGAGTATGTTTTATATTTAAGCATCTTCAATCGTGTCGAGACGAAGATTTTAACATTCGTATCTTCGCATAGAAGACACTTAATTAAGGGCAGTTGTTATACCTCAATTTTCTCCCCTGAGATCCCTCTATCATCTTATACCATCACAATGCATCAAGATCGCACATTAGGAGTTTGGTTATCACTTCTATTGTTTCTTATCTTTAAATTCGTCCCTGAGGAATCACCAAGCACCCGGATTTTATGTATTGTGTATATGTGTTTTATATTTTTACTGACTTCTAAACAAAATCAAAAATATATATCTTGTTTATTTTGTTTCTTTTAGAAGACAAGGTTTCAGATCAAGGAGTTCAGGCGACTGGTTCTCCGATTAAGGTTGTGGTTTTGTTCAGTCCAAAGATGGTTCCCAAAAGCCTATGTTTCAGAATGGTGATCTATAATCTTAGGTCACGCTATCCACAAGCTTCCTTCAGCATAGTTAAGGCAAGTTCGGTTGCTTAATTCTCAAGACTCTTCGAGACAGATTCATGTGTTTATTTCCATGCCTTCTTCAATGAGTAATCCCAAGTTCTGACAAGTGTAAGTAGGGTTTCATCAGAACTTCATCATCTCAAGTTCATACGTGATTCAGAATGCCTTGGGTTATGGAAAAAGATAAAGTTTGCGGGTGGATTCAAAGTTGGTGTACTAAAAGTCAACGTTTGCATATTTGAGTTTAAACGACCATAACTTCTTCATTATTCAGTATTTTTGAGTACATTAGAGGTCGTTTCGAGGACTTTGACCTATTCTCAAGTACCGATCGTCCAATTTGCGAGGATCATAACTCTTTCGATTTCCATTGTTTTGGGATGATTTTGTTTGCACATTACTCTTTATGAGGTCATCTACAAATTTTCTTTAAGGGTCGAATTCGAATTGTGTTTAGAAGGTTATGGAATTTATTGAAAATTTATAGGTCATTTCGACTTAGGTTGATTTTGATCTCTCAATTCAATTCATGCCATAATTACTATGTTGAGATCATTCTTTGTCAGATGGAAATTTTGAAGAATCGTGGATTGATTGAAACATTTCAAGTCTTTTTTTGTTTAAAAGGGTTCTTCACCTCTAATTTCAAATCATATCATCATTATATCTTTAGGACATTGATTCTTCTTTTGAAGAATTTGAGATGGGTCATTGTTTGTGTTTAGCATTAGTAGCTTGAATTAGAGTTCAACTTTGATTCAAGTCCCTTTTGTTTCAAATACATTTTTGGTCTTCAAAGTTTGCACATTATCACATATACCATTCCTTCATTTTCAAATCCAAAATTACATGTTCTATTCATTACCATCCATGGTCAATCTATTCAAAATTATTCTCATTCATTCAAGATTATTCATTAAAGAATCCAAGAGATACACTTTTTCATACACTTTTTCTTTCAAGATCATTCAAAATTATCATGATTCATTCAAGCTCTCTATGGCTCAAGGTTCAAGGTGTGGTTATTCAAAGTTGCCAAGATTCGAATCGCATTTCGTAAACTCAAGATGCAACATAGTCACAAGAATCACAAAGAAGCATTTTCACTTCTTCAACAAATTTATTTGTTCTAAATGTTATGCTAAATTTAAATTGACAAAAAGGAATAACACTTGATCATCAAACTTATTTGATCTCCATTCAAGAATCAAGATGTTACAAAAGAGTCCAAATGTTTATGCCTAAGAACTCCATCAATTTGCAAGAGAGATTTCAAGTCTTCATAAACTTAATTGTCAAGCTCCATCATGTTTTCAAGATTTATTATATTTACAAACTTTACAAGTCCAATTCAAGGCAAGCTTTGTTACACCAATAAATTACAAGCAAAAACAAAGACTTTTCAAATGGCCTATAATTCCTAAGCTTTGTTGGACATGTTGCATTACAAGGCTTTTCCCAAAAATTACAAAGAAACTATGTGATCTAAAAAGTTATAATGGCCTATAATTCCTAAGCCTAAATTTCAAATGACTTTCAACACATACAAGGGATATTCAAGATTTTCACTAATTTCACATGAAATTCGAAACTTCCATGAGAATTCAAGTCGAGACCTTTTAATGCTTTTTCCCCCTTCTTCTCCATGCCCACTACGGTTTATCCGTTCTTTAGCGATCCTCCATGTCCAACATATCTTCATCCCATGAAAACAAGAAAATGAAGTGAAGTTAATAGACATACAATGTTTGCAAACAATATCAAGAAGGAAAACAAAGAGGTGAAATTAGTGACAATGGCATAAGAGAAAAGCAATTGCAACGGCCCAGATAAAATAAGTCATCAAGTCACAGTTGGTTTTACTACTATCATTCTCTCATCAGCATCTGAAGCACGAGTTAATATGAAGAAAACATTGCAAACAAGTAGTTGATTTGGACCTTAAACAAGGATTTTCCGTGGGCTGTTTCGAGAGCAAAAATGAGCATTTTCATGAGAATAGAATTTTAGCCCAAATCATTTTTACAGAAACCCTAACTTCTACACTATTTAAGCATTATGTCTCACTGATTCAAAAAAAAAGGATTCGGACACTGAAAATTCAGAAAAGAACCAAGAAACTAGAAAAATATACCTCTACCCTTGCCAGAATCTGTCTTGACCTCGTCGGAGACCGCTGGAAATCTCTCTTTCAGCCCAAACCGTCGTCACCTCGCCGGGAGTCACCAATAATCGCCCGTGTCCCGTCGTTCCAACCACCTTCATCGTCTACACCCCAAGCTGACCGAATCATCTTTTACCACCACCGAAAACGCCCTGTCCGCCGGAACCGCTCCAGTCGCCCTCCGATCGCTAAAGCTAGCCCTCAACAGCCGGAAACCGCCACTAAACTCGTTGGAATATTCTTCCACCACTGTCCTCTTCCCTTTCTTTCTACAGAAGGTTGAAATCTTCTTCTGAACACTATTTCACTTTGATTCTGTGTTGAGTTTTGTGGTGAGAAACCTTGAAAATACCGAAACACTTTTGCAGATCTACTAATACTTTTAATTTTTTTGAGAAAACTGAGTTCTGATTTGAACTGAGGGGCGCAAATCAAACGTTATCATGTAAAAAAAAATCGAATCTAAAAGTTTCATGGTGGCGCCGCCGCGAGCCATCGCTGCCGCCGCGAGCCATCGCTGCCGCCGCGAGCCATCGCTGCCGCCGCGACTCTTCCCTTTCCGGGCAGACCTTCTCACTTCTTTCTCTCTATTTTTATTATTTTGTTTTTCTTATAAGAGATGATGATGATGTTTTAATATCAAAAGAGGTGATGATGTTTTAATATCAAAAGAGGTGATGATGATCTATGATGAGAGAGAAAGATAAAGTTTTATAAAAAAAAGAGTTGTTATTTGATGTAGTAACGATACTGCATTTTTTTTTGGCAAAATACCCTTTTTAGTCCTTTAACTTTACCCCAAGGTCCATTTTGGTCCTTTATCTAAAAAAGTGTCAAACTGGTCCTATAATTCTTTCAAAAGGACCATAGGAATCCTTTCCGTCCAAAAGGCCCAAACGGACGTTTGGTTTGCATGCGTGGCAGGTGACATGGAATGTTATCATCTTCAAGCTGGTTCCAGAAATCCTCAAATTCTAGGGTTCAAGAAATCCTCAATTGGAGAATCTGCGGTTCTTCGAAGGGCTACCACCGTCACAAACTTTGGGAAGCAATTCTGGGGTTGTCGTCATTACAAGGTAAGCATGAAATTAAAATGGGTTTTCATATATTCTTGTTCTGATAGTTCCTGCAATAGCTGAGATGAATCTGGATGTCACCATTACAGGGTTCATCTGAATCTGGGTGTGGATACTTTCAATGGTTCTTTGATGATGTGGTGGATGAGAAGGATCAGTTTATAAAGAAGCAGAATAATAGGTTGGAGAAGCTGCAAAATGAGCTTGATGGAGCAAAGATGGAGATACATCATCTAAAGGAAAGGAAGGATGGGCTGAAACATAAGATAATGGAGTTACAAATTGAAATGAAGAAGATGAAGAATTCTCAAAAAAAAATGGAAAAGATTCTTCTTTATTATGTTAGTTGTGGTAATTTGGATGATGTTGTAATAGATTCATATGTAACACAGTCTCAATTTGAACATGGTATCATTATGAATTTGAATTTGTGTATCAACTTGAATTTTTGAACTAGTAGCATTTTGATCAATGTAACATACTGTAAAACATAATGTAGCAATTTTTGTATCAATGCAGCATTTTGATCAATGTAACGTACTGTAAAACTAGTAGCATTTTTGTATCAATGTAAAACATAATGTAACATACTGTAACAATCCAAACATATAATTATAAGGTGGTGGATACCACTAAGTTGCATACAAAAGAACCTGATATTTCAGGTCCAATCCAAACAGCCTGATATTACAGGTCAAAACAAAAACTTGTCCTTCTTGATATTACATGATCAAAACAACAACCTGATATTACAGGTCAAAACAAAAACTTGTCCTTCTTGATATTACATGATCAAAACAACTTAACATAACTAATTCTAACATTCCAAGTTAACAAAACAACATAACAACTATATTCCAATCCTAATCCAAAACAGACATAAAAGTAAACTAAGGTTTCCACTTTGGTGCTGCTCTTTTAGTTGGTGTTGTCCTTCTTGTTGTTGGACCTACAACAGTTATTGATGCCTTTAACCTCGTTGTTGGACCTGGTGGGACAAATGGTGCATTTGGCCTTCGAACTGACAACTTTTTGGATGATTTAGATTGAGATGGCTGAGAAGCTTGACCAGGAACTGACTTAGATGCTTGAGATGGGACAAATGGTGTATTTGGCCTTCTAACTGACAACTTTTTGGATGATTTAGATTGAGATGCCTGAGAACCTTGACCAGGAACTGACTTAGATGCTTGAGATGCCACTGGTACAGATGCCACTGGTACAGATGATGCCACTGGTACAGATGCTTGAGATGGTTGAGAAGGAACTGGTACAGATGCTTGAGATGGTTGAGAAGGCACTGGTACAGATGCTTGAGATGGTTGAGAAGGCACTGGTACAGATGCTTGAGATGGTTGAGAAGGCACTGGTGCTTGTGGTACAGATGGTGCTTGTGGTACAGATGGTTGAGCTACATGTGTCTGACTAGTAGAAGGCACCTTACAAGTAAGCTTGTTGTGACCTACCTGCTTACACCTGCTACACTTTATAATGAATCCTGTTCTTCTCATCTTTTTATCAGTACCATCTAGCTCACCTTGCTCTAAATTCCTCCTTTTCTTTGGCCTTCCAGGCATTTTCCTGAATTTGGGTGGCATAACATCAGGGTACTCAGTTGTAACCCATAGGTTTGAGCCATTAACAGGGAATATGACAGGTTTGTACACTTGCAAATATCTAGATTTCCTGTAATAATCAGGAATGTATTCATCAATCCTATGGTTCCTATTCTTGATTGCTGCAAGTGAATGAACACATGGTAGGCCTGTTAGCTCCCATCTTCTGCATGAACAGATTTTTTCCTTCAAGTTTACAGTGAATTTTTCAGCAGAATTTTCCAGATGCCTCACTTCAAACATATGCTCATCAGACATCCTAACACAGAAAAATGGACATTCCAAATTAAGATGAGAATGGACATTCCAAAGTCAGACATTCTAACACAGAAAAAATGCTTGTTTTAATAATTTTACCTGGGAAGCCACATGTTTGTGAATGAACTTGTTTTCTCAACCTTTTTCATAATGTTTGGCAACACTTCTACATCTGTCAATTTCTGAAACCTCATCTTGTTTGTAGCCCATCTCTCCATCATGTATATCCTAATTTCTTCCACCATGGTTATTAATGGCTTGGCCCTTGACTCCAAAATAACACTATTAAAGGATTCTGACATATTATTGAGAACTGCATCGCATTTGTTATGAGTCTTGAAGTATGATCTGCTCCAAAACCTTGGAGGGGTAGACATCATGTGCTTGTATGCTTCTCCATTGATATGTTTCATAACTTTCATCTCTCTTTCCCAAGCTTGGTAGTAAGTTGATTTGGATTCCTTCCATATAATTTCCTTTAGTTTTTTTCCTAGAAATCTCTTCCTAAAGTTGTTGTAGAGATGCCTAACACAGAATCTTTGTTCAACTGTAGGCAGCAGTTCCTCCATTGCAGGCAATAATCCCTGGGTCATGATATGTATATAACTTAATTATTAAACATGAGAATACCAAGATAAACATGAGAATTTAATTATTAAAAATACTAATCAATTGAGAATTAACAATAGAGTCATACCTTTTGTTGATCAGAAATAAAAGTGTATGTGAGACACTCTTCTCTTCCACCTAGATCACCAATAAGCAGCTCCAAGAACCATGTCCAACTTTCCTTGTTTTCACTCTCCACTACTGCATATGCTATTGGTAGCATTTGATCATTGGGATCTCTGCCTATGGCTGACAGGATTTGACCTCCACAAAGCCCTTTCAAAAAACATCCATCAAGCCCTATGAAATGTCTACTTAACCTGAAGCTTTCCTTACAAGCTGCCAAGCATATGTAAATCCTTTTGAAGTGTAATTTCTGAACACCACTACCTTCTTGAGCTGGTTGGACATGTACTTTCACAGTTGACCCTGGGTTAGATCTTAACAACTCATGTGCATAGTCATAAATCCTTGTATAATCCCCTAAGAATGACCCATCAACCATGTCTCTTGCTGCAAACCTAGCCCTTATAGCCTTGGTTTTGTTGACCCCCACATTCCACTTTCTCTGCACCTTTTCCTTAATGTCCTTAAGCTTCAATCTAGGGTTGGTTTTAAGTGCATTCTGCAACCTCTTGCTAAGCCATTTAGTCTTCAACAACTTCACATGATATTCTCTACTACAACTATGGGTGTCTATCACCTTTCTTAGTTGCCAAGTATCCTCAACATCCAACTTAGCCCAATAACCTTCCCATTCACATCCATCCTTACACCTAACCCTAACCCTTATCTTGTCATTTTTGATGTACTTTAAATTTCTGCCAGATTGGACTGCATAAGAGGTAACTGCTTCCTTGATATCTTCTTTTGTACTAAAATATGTACCCACTTCCCATTTGTAATTGGACATATCCTTTAGAAGCTTGAAAATGGGATACTTCTTTCTCTTGGTAGTATTGATATCTTCACTATCACAATCACTTACAAGATCCTCACTTTCATTATCACTTCCTTTATCACTTCCTTTACTATCTTCTTTATTTGGTTCAGTTTCACAGAGATCAGTTACTTCTGCCATACCTTCTTCCTCTTCCAAGTCAGTATCACAGTCATCAGTTTCATCATCAAATACAACCTCCTTTGCACTATCATACGAAAAGCTACTATCATCAGAGCTATCATCATCAGAACTATCATCATCGTTCTGTCCAACAGCATTTTCACTTGCCTCCTTCTGTCCAACATCATCTTCACTTGCCTCATTCTGTATAACAACATCTTCACTTGCCTCCTTCTGTCCAACAACATCTTCAATTGCCTCCTTCTGTATAATAACATCTTCACTTGCCTCCTTCTGTCCAACAGCATCCTCACTTACCTCATTTTGTCTAACTGCATCATCTTCCATTACATTCAGGGGTATCTCATCTAAAATAACTTCACTCTCATCAACATAATCAGGCTGTGACAATGGGTGTTGAATAAAGACTTCAACACGTAAATGAACCCTATATAGATCAGCAATCTCTAAGGCCCCTTTGTCATCAAACAACAGATTCATTCCAGCAGTTGGATCCTTATAGTATATCTTCTCTATGGCTGGGTAACCTAGTTCCTTAATAGCACCCAATAACTCAAAATAACCCCACATATCAGCATCTACTCTCAAATCAGCAATCTCACCTCCTTCGTACACACTCAAGTCCTCACTAACAAAATGA